GGGGCCTCGCCGCGGGCCCGGAGATGCACTTCGGCTTCCAGACCGTGACGGAGGCGGAGAGGAGGGAGAAAAGTGAGGGCGGGAGGCAGGGTTCGCTGTGGAGCCAGGCGGCGCCTCGGAGAAGGGCGGGCTGGGCCGGGCTGCATGTAACGGGTCTCCCGGGCAGCAGGCGCGCTTCGGCTGTGGGGTGACGGGGAGCGGGAGATGTACTTGGAGCTGGGCCCTTGCTTTGAGATCTTCCTGGCAGCCTCGGTGAATTGTATCGGTGTTAGGGCACTATTTCCCTCTCGGTTCTGGAAGGGTTGTGGGAAGAGGCTCTGGGAATCCAAAGAGATGTTTGTCAGGACACAGGCTCAGGAGTCGTCTTTTTCGGTATTTTTAAGTTCTGCATCGTGACAGACCTCCACGAGGCAATAAAGGGCACATTTTACTTCCACAGGAGCATTTTGAAGTAAGTTGCAGCTCATTCTCATGTTCTTCATTTGCAGTTTACCAGGTCTTTGAAAGTGTGGCGAAGAAATACGATGTAATGAATGATTCAATGACTCTAGGGATTCATCGAGTGTGGAAGGATATCCTCGTGCATAAAATGAACCCTTCCCCCGGAACACTTCTTCTTGATGTTGCTGGAGGAACAGGTAAATAACTTTGGTGAGTTCCCCAAAACAATGCCACACTGGTTTTGCACTGTTTAACGCTGCTCAGACTCAAGTTGCTTTGCCTTCCTGCCCCCCTCAGTTCCCTGTCTTTAAAACTAGCAAGAGAGCTAACTCCTTTGTGTTTTGAAATATCTTGCTCCAAGCTCTGGAAGTATAGTACTGCCATGATATGTTATGGAAAACTGTTTCCATTTGTAGGAAGTCATGGGCTTTTTGCTTTTACTGTGTTCCCTTTATATATTTTTATATCTATATACACACATATACACACACACACTTTCTCTACCTCTCCTTACTCTGTGTGTTTATTTTCATACATACATATAAATAAAAACTAACTCAGTTTGATGTTCAAAGCTGTGTGTTCCAATTTCCTGGAGGCAGTCATTCTAAGAAATGTCTCTTTTAAAACAATTGCAGGTGATATCGCCTTTCGATTTATTAATTATGTTTGCTCTGTACGAGAACGCCAGCTCCAGAGGAAGCTTAAGCATCATCAGAATTTATCGTGGCAGGAAATTTCTGAGAGTTACCAGGAAGACAAGTTTAAGTCTCTGGGGGATTCCCAAGTGGTGGTCTGTGACATTAACAAAGAAATGTTAAAAGTTGGAAAGCAGAAAGCACAGCATCTCAGCTACTCCGAAGGTAAGTTATGCACTGAACCATTTCAGTAGCATGCCTTATAGCAAGAATTTGACATGTGATAGCCATCAGGTAATCACCGCTATATAGCCATGGTGTATACTATAGCTGTGCTTGCATGTTTGCTAATGCTGAGTTACTTTTACAGTGAAGGTGTATGTTGTATGTTGTTCAGACGTACGGTGTTTCTCGTGAATAGTACTTGAACTTTCAGAAACACATATATGGAAGTGTCCGTGAGGTCTGATACCCAGCTGTCCTTCAAAATTGGTCAAATAATCTAAACTTGCTGTTCATATCTGTGCAAATGAATCTGGTGTTACTAAGGCAGATAATGCAAAAAGAGCTCAGCCCTAGAATGATTACACTAAAGGTCTTACAATGGGTGTTTTTAAGAATCAAGGCAGCAAATAAAAATGCTAGAAGTATATTGTGAGCCTATAAAACTTTCCACAGTTAGAGCATATGCAAATAATACTCAGAGAAACTAAATTATGTTAAATGTTAGTTTGCAGGTCAATGGATTAATTCACTGATATCTAGAATTTGTTGGGGACCACGCCAATCCTGATTGAAAAGCCTGATTTTAAGAAGTAAGACATAGAAAGAAGTCCTGCTTGTGGCTCAGTGTTTGTATGATAGTTGTTTATCCCATCTTCATTTATGGATATTTGGCAAATATTTTAGCAATATAAGGTTCCCAAACTTTGCTTGGATAGTACCATTAGAAATACCCTGGGCAGTCTCTGCATGCATGTTATGAGATCTCCTGCATGTCCTTCCACTGTGCCCTGCTCCCACACCCGCACTGGGACACCCAACACAGCTGCAGCCAGAACCACCTGGTGTTTATGCTTGTGGCCAGCTCCTGGCACTACGGGTGTGGGGGTGTGGAACTGGGGCCTTGCAAGAACCGTCCTCCAAGTAGGTACAAGTGAAACAGCTCAGTAGCACAAAGGGGCTGAAAGATAAGCTGCATAGGTTCTCTCAGCTGCTCTTGCTCCCTGCTGGTGGGTTTCCCCAGTCCATTGCCTGCCTACCTGCCTCTCCCTTTTCTTCAAAAACTGACCTATTTGTGAAAGCATTGGTTCTTTCTGCTCTGGCAGATTACTTGCATCCTGCTTACCTGAGCAGCTTGCCAGCCTGTCCAAAGCCCTTTTTTATGCATCACAGTTTGGGAACACCTGAACTGTACCAACACTGTAAGTATAAGAGCTTTATGACGGTAGCTTAGGACCTGAAATAAAGCTTGGTGCTGCCTCTCAGCTACTATAGACAAAGCATTTTGTTTCATTGGCTGCACTCTTTAGATATCTTTGTGACATCGAATTCTCAAAATGAGTGTTTATGTATGACGGTAGCTTAGGACCTGAAATAAAGCTTGATGCTGCCTCTCAGCTACTATAGACAAAACATTTTGTTTCATTGGCTGCACTTCTTAGATATCTTTGTGACATCGAATTCTCAGAATGAGTGTTTATGTCATTTTCTTCCCCTGTACATCATAGCTGTAGAAGGCCAACTGTCTTCTTGTTGCCTGCATTGCCTTATCCCCAAGTGTGCCACAATTGTGACTTCTCTTTTGCTCCCTTGTTCAGCACATACCCATTAATGTGTCCTACCATCTGTTTTTCATGTGATTCCTTCCTGTTGTAGTAAACTCATTTCTGAGCTTGCTGGTCTGTTGGTTGTCTGAGGCCTATTTTTATTTTTCTTACAATTAAGAAAAAGGGCAGTTTCCTTTCACTGTGTTCCTATGTACATTCACCAACATTCACTGCACGTACCCAGTTCCTCTTGGTGGACACCCACAGCCCCTTTCACGTATCCACTTCCAGACTCCTGGTCTGTGATGGTACCACAGTGTATTCCGACAGATAGTTTTCTTGTTGCTCAAAACCTCTTGTTGATGCTCACTTCTTAGGTGTCCTTTCAAACTGTCTAGGTTTTAATAACACTAGTAATTGCTGCTTTAATAACTTTGCATGCTACTTTGAATAGAATACTTTCTACAACTATAAATATATATATTTTGAAAAAATGAAGTGTAAATGTCTCCTGGCAACAACTGTTGGGGTTTGTTGTGCTTTGCTCTCCTCCATGTGTTTTCTAGCATGTTGCCCTTTGGAATTTATGATCTCTGCAGAAGAGTCCTGTTTTCTTTTTTTCTGTTAGGGGTTTGCTTTGGTTGCATTTGAGTCATGAAAAACAATGACTTTAAGAACTATTAATTCTAAACTGAGGAGTCTTATTTTTGGTATGAATAACCTGGCCATCCTTGCTTCACAGATAGATATGGCCTTGCTCCATTACTGTTTGTGAAGCAATACAGCTGCAATAGTATCATGTACTGATAGTGCAGCAGGAAGGAGTGAGCCTTTTCTTGTTCCTCCATCTATGGAAGGTTTCTAGCAAAATGTTTTAAGTATTTTGGCCATTGATGGGTGGCAGGACATCAATCATTGTTTATAGCTACTCTTTGAGCAGGTATTATCTTTTTGCAACTTTGCTACGCACAAATGGCAGCCGGTTTCTGGAAAGCTGGTAGCTTTCAACTCTGATGCAAGATTTGGGGGAAATCTTGGCAGACTGAAGCGCTGTGAGCACAACACGTGTGTATGTGCAGAAGAATGTTTTGGCTGGTGTACAGAATTAACTACTTTGCTTGAAAGACAGCTGTATGGTACAGGGGCTTGAAAGGTTTGTGAGTATAGACCAAGGCGTTGTTCTTCCAACAAAAATGCAAAATTGAAGCAGTAGTTTTAAATGCACTTTATTAATAACAGTTTCCTTCTGCAGTAGATAACTGCTAGTCCTTCTGGAGCAGTCTGACTTCAGTTCTGTGACCTTGGCTTTTACTGCAGGCTTGTCCTGGGTGCTTGGGAATGCTGAAGAGTTGCCCTTCGATGATGACAAGTTTGATGTTTACACAATTGCCTTTGGAATCCGAAATGTAACTCGTATTGATTTGGTAAGTTGCTATAGTGTATCCTGATGTGGGGTCCTTATGATTCACCTGAGGTTTTTTATTCTAGTGAAGGAAGCAAAGGAGGAAGTCCTTTGGATAAAGGAACATCTTTGTCTACTCCTGAAACATTTAAAATAAGTGGCACGTGGTGTGCAACTTGTTTGAATGAAGAATGCGATTAAATGCCCCACTTTCGTAATAAAAAGCTAGATTGATACCAGTTGTGCCAAATCCTTCCAGCTTGGCAAGCCACACAATCTCTTCCTGAAGCAAAAAGTGTTGAGTGCTACAGTCATTCCCCACCTTCTAACCTCTGACATTACTGGATTTACACATGCACGGTGCAGTCAGTCTGATCTTTGTCCCACCTGCAGTGGATCCAATGCTTCTGCCCTGTTCTGTTTCCTTGCCTGAGACAGCAGAGCTTGCAGAGCAGAGTGGGAAACAGCTGGCTGCTGCCACCGCTGCTGTTGAACTAACTCATTTAGCCCACTGCTGCTCTGTGTCTTGACACTGGTTGTAGGGTTTCTTATGAAGAACGAGTATGATCTTGATTAGGGTACATAATACCTTTTGTTCTAAACAGTATCTGTCCTTCGAGAATGACTAGCTGTCTTGTGGGTGAAGGTAGGTTAGATCACCTATCTCGCTAGGCTGGTTGTCTGTCTGGAGGAGTGTGTTACAACCTTGGCAATGTTCCTTCTGTGGTAGGTGTACCATTTGGATCCAGACCACCTTGAACCATATGCCTTTGAACTTCTCTTAATGTGGATGGCCTTTCACGATTCATCGGCTGCACCCTTCCAAAGCACAAGCTCTTTATCTTATCCCCATTTGTGGGTGCAGCACTCTGGTAGCCTAGCTCCCTGGAGACCTGATACAAAACACATCCAAGCCTGTAGTTCTTTTGCAGAGCTCCCATCGCGTATGTGGACTGTTTATATTTTGTACCTTAGAAACAACAGTTGGAGCCAAGCAGATGTACAACATGCAGAGGTTCTTGAATAGAGCTCTGCTGTGCTCTTGTATGAAAAAAAACATACAGTTGTAAACAGAATTTTGTCTTGGTTCTTCTTAGGTATTTTATTTTGGATATAGAATGGAATTTTCAAAGTAGCCAGAGATGTTGTTCTTCCCTCTCCTTCCTCCCTGTTCTTACACATTGCTCATCCAAAAGCCAGTATCATTTCTTCTTTGATCCTTTGGGTGTGGCTCACAGTTGAGTAAAACCTTTTGATTAAAGAAAGAAAGAATCTGTCATGCCCTCTTTTCCTTTTCAGCTTCTTGTAGCTGAGTCACCTTCTCCCTTTTGGGTTTGGTCTGTAATTACGAGAGCTCTGCTGGCAAACATTCATCAACTCAGAGTAGGGAAAAAGAAGAAAAACTGCAAACCTGACATCATAGTTTCAACACAAAGCCTGGTATAAATCTATTTATGTAACAGCAAGAGTTTTTGTGGTTTGGATTTGTTGTTTGGGTTGGGGTTTTTTTGTACTTGTCTTGGAATACTTCTCCACAAGTAAATATTGGAGATTGCCAGTGAGCATTCTTTTTACTCCCCTCAGTGTGTCACTGAGTTGCCATCACATGGCATGATAATAGGCAGGTGCTGTTCTACTGAAACAAATTAATTGCATCTGCTTTATCTCAGGCACTTCAGGAGGCTTATCGTGTGCTGAAACCAGGAGGAAGATTTCTCTGCCTTGAATTTAGTCATGTCAGCAACCCCCTTCTTTCCAGGTAGGAACATGGTGACACTGTACCATGTCACAGGGTTCTCTTATTTGTCTCTTGTTCTGCTTAAGTACTTTGAGGCCACCTCATTGTGTGCTTTTAAAATCAGACACAGAATACACAGCGTAGTGGTGCAGAGATCAACTTGTGTTTTAAACTTACTTGTATTAATCTCTATTTGCTGTCTGTCTGTATAGGCTCTACGATCTATACAGTTTCCAAGTTATCCCTGTTCTGGGTGAGGTTATCGCTGGTGACTGGAAGTCTTACCAGTATCTTGTGGAGAGCATCCGACGTTTCCCCCCTCAGGTAAAACGGTATTCTTCTGAATTCACTAACACACACAACATGGTCCCAGCATAATCTTGCAGGCAGCTGGCTTATAGGCCTCCAGGTTGTTATAATTATGGAACTATTATTTTGCAGGAGGAGTTGAAGGCAATGATAGAAGATGCAGGGTTTTTTAAAGTGGATTATCAGAATTTAAACTCGGGTATTGTCGCCATTCACTCAGGTTTCAAACTGTGAGTCTACTATGTAGCAAAACACAGGAAGCGTAATTTTCCTGAGGAGTACGAAGGCTGTGGAATCTTAATGCTATCAAGATTGAAGAGGAGATTTAAGAACTCGTATGAGACACTTGCTCAGCAGTCAGGCCCAGAAGAACTTCAGCTACCTTTTTTTCCTTAAGAGACCTGCAGATGAAGAGACTCCTGTGGTGTTTCTTACACTTGCATTTCCCTTCAAGTGCAACATAAAGGATGTGGCCAAAACTGAGCAATGCTAACAAATGGAGCAATTTCAGTTACCAGTGGTGTGGATACAGAAACAGACTGACCAGTCTTCTAAAAAGATGCCTTTTTTTTTTTAATTAAGCTCCAAGGAGGATATTGTGCCAGTGAGAAATAACTTGAATTTATTAGATTTTTATTAAACTGTCCTTATCTTTGGCATGTGGACTCTAAGGGCTTTTTCCCATGGTTCATTTACGTCTTTCAAAGGCAAATGGCATGCTCGTGAAATAAAACAGCTCTGCATCAACTTTTTTTCCACTTAAGTCAGTATTTTAACCTATGACTTCCTTTCTATGAAAGGATTTTTTTTTCTTTTCCCCTGAAGGAGAATGACTCCATAACTGTATTCTGGGATGACATGTTTTCACCTCCATATGCATCTAGCACTGACAAACAAAGATTTCATAACCTTTACATAAAAGGACTGTGCATTTCCTTCTGTTCTTTAAACTGTTGAAGAACAGATGCTTCTGTGGCAAGATACAGGGATAGAGGAGAGGAAAAAAAAGCTATAGAATGTATGAATGTACATTCCAAAGTGATAGCTGTGTAATGAACTACTATGAGAATTGGTCTCTTCTGAAAACTTGGAGATGAAAGGACAATTGCTTTTAGCTCACCAGTTCACTTGAAATTGGAAAAGCAACACCATATATCTAAACTCCAGAATCTGCACTGAGCATTGTGCATGCTGAAAATATGCTTCTCAAGAACTCAAAAGCAGTCTCTTTTCTCTCAGGGAAAGTATTTCCTGTTGTTCTGGGTTACTGACAGATGTCGTATTCACAGATTAGCTCAGGCTTCAGAAGCTGTGGAGTTGGGGGGCAAAATGGGGGTGGGGATGTTCCTCCTTTGTTCACAGTGGAATAAAGAGGGGGTAATGCAAGCACCAAGAGGGCAGAAGGGTAGAGAAAAGTCTTAAACTTGTTCTGACAGTTTTATTAGCAAAGAAGCTGTCTTTTGAAATAAAATAAATACAAGGAAGACACTTTTGCGGTTTTTATAGCCACGATGAAAATAACCAGCTGCTACAGCAAAATCCCTGACCATTAACAATACAACAAAAGACCTGAAGATCAAGGTCTGCTTCCTCAGGATGGCTGAAGGTAGGAGGCTGTTTGGAGTTAGTGTGCAGTCCTGTAACCAGGTGCAAGTTTCAGTAACAGTCCATGGCTCTACCCAGACTTGAAGAGAAGAATAGCGACTTGGCCGAGGTAGAAGTAGATGAAGTGCTTGGTCTCATGAGTGACGTAGCTGCCAAAGTTCCTTCCCACGATGCAGTGCCAAGTGGGGTTGTATTTCTTGTCAAATTCCTGCAGAAGAGAGAACTAGGAATTCAGCATTTTTTTGGTGAGAATCGTACCAATATTGCCTCATGAAGTTTTTTTGCAGTGCTATGTCACTTGTTAGCAAGTATCACTTTTGGAGAAAGCAATTAAGGAGCAGCATATGCTCTTAAGTGCGAGGATCATCTGTCACTTTATAACTCATCTGCTGCTTAGTCAGACCAAAAAAAATAAGTGCTTCCAAGCTGAGCAGGAATAAGCTTTAAAACATATGTTTGGGAAAGTAACGTTTGATCTCAAACCGTAACTTTTAAGAAGTTCACTTCTTGTTCTGAATCTACAGATTAAGCTATTATTTTTAGTTCATTAGCTGTTTTCTACAAGGATGCTGGAAGGACTCCAGACAAAATTCTCTGCTGCTTCTCTGATACCAGGTCACGAGACCACGTTCTTCCTACACACTGCAGTCAGGAGCCTGCTATAACTTTCAAATAAACTCGTGTGTGCAAAGTCTGTGTGAGTAGAACCACACAGTCAGTGGTTGTACACTGCAGTATCTAACAGCCATCAGCTGGAGAGACTCTGAGAGTGTGCAGGACTTGGTGTTCTGTTCAACCAGACCCTTCAACTACTTGCAGCTCAATCAGGCTCCCAGTAGGAGTCGGAGAGAAAATGTGACAAAGTGGAAGCTATGAACCATCTGTTCTGCACTAGCATGAACAGTTTGTCTTGTATGTGGTGGGGGAAAAAAAACCAGAACTAAACCACTTCTTACAAGCTCAGCAACCCACCACTTCTCAAATAGGCTCCATAGAGCCCCTGTGTTCTGTAGCAGCTCATCAGTCACAGGAACAGTCGGCTGCCACTCTCTGCTCACCTGGACCACAGGACAGTGGCAGAAAAGGCTTAAGTAGAAGGCACTGCAGGAGAAAAACAGAAGGACCTGGAAATGGAAAGGGTGGGGAAGGAACATAAAGGCACCAGCCTCCTGAGAAAGCCCAACTTGATTATCTCGTGTCTCTAGAACTTGTTTCTCTAGAGCTACTTGCCCAGCAGCATTCTCCCTGCTTGATTTTTCATCTGCACAGATTTTGTAAGGACAGTACAAGCAAGCATTTACCTTCTTTATGTGAGCAGCGATGTCCTTCTCGATGTTGTACTTCTCCAAGGCCTGTGTAGCACACTCCACAGAGTCTTGCTGCATCTCCTCTGACATGTCCGCATTCTTGATCACTGCCTTTCGGTCACTCATGATTGCCTGTATTGAGCAAAGAAGAGAACTCAAAGTTGCAGGAGCAGCTCCCTGCCAGAATTACCCACCAAGCAGCCACCCAGGTACCATCACTCACAGCCGGGAGCGACACAGGCACCGCCGGAGCCTTTCAAACCCCGCTGCCCTCCCCCGTCTCTCCCCTCTTGACACAGCCTGACAGCCCCGGGAGAAGGTACGGCCCCTGCAGCGCCCAGCCCCGGCGGCCCTTCCCCACCGATGGAGGCGCACGAAGCCCGGCGC